AACGCAGAAGCTTTTTACAAGCAGCAATCAAACAGTTGAAAACAGTTTACTCTTTTTCTCCGCTTTCTTTGTGGTTAATTAAAAATAATTCACAAGTTGCAAAATTTAAGCTATTTTTGTACACAGCAAATGTTGCTTTACATAGAGCAGCTATTTCATTACAGTGATTCATATAGTTTAAGGTCTTTTAGATAAAAATAAAGTATGAAATGTCCACTTCATTTATAATTTTGTAAGAATTGTCTGACTCAAGAAATATTAATGATGTTGTATAAAAGTTTGTCATTTTAAATTGCATGTGTAATTTTCTGTGCCTGCTATACAAAGAGATAATTCTCCCAAGAAATAGGATTAGTTTAAAAATATTTCTTTAGAACAATTTTTCTGAAAACTCCTTTCCTTGTTTTGTTTATTATCCCCTATGTAGATATTGAATCTATGAAATTTAACTAATGTGCGTGTGTGTGCACATACATGCATATGTGCCTGTGTTTTCTATTGTCTGAAGTAATGAAATACCTAAGGGCCCATAATTGCTATAAAATTTAGAAGAGTAACTAAAATAAATGTAGGTTCATGTTAGAGAATTTATTTGGGCATGGTAAATATGGTTGTTTTTAATTGGAAACCATTTTTAACATATGAGAAGACTTAGCAGGCAAAATTAAATTTTATTTTAGCAAACCATAAAAGATCTCCAGTATAGCTAACTTTTAAAAACTAGTCTATTGGGTTTTAATGTAAAGCTATAGTAGCAGTTTAACAGTTTGTTTCCAGTGCTGTTACACATTTTCTGATTAAAATCAGCTTTTATCTAAGTTTATATTTCTCTTTAAAACAGGAGCAAGCAATACCGCAGACACGTTATTTCAAGAAGTATTAGGTCGAAAGGACAAGGCAGATTCCACTAGAAATGCACTCAATGTGCTTCAGCGATTTAAGTTTCTTTTCAACCTTCCTCTAAATATTGAAAGGAATATTCAGAAGGTAGAGTACGTGTTTATGTACACACAGTTATAGAGATGATAACTTTTAACGCTTTGTTCAGATTTTTTTTTATCTTAAGCTAATGTCTTCATTATGCTTTACTGACAGTCTCCAAAATATTTTTTTGTTTTAAAGGGTGATTGTGATGTGGTTATTAATGACTATGAAAAAGCCAAGTCACTCCTTGGGAAAACGGAGGTGCAAGTGTTCAAGAAATGTAAGGCTTGTTTGTGACTTTCAGATCTTCTTTACTTTTACAGGAAGAAATCTGGGATGCACCGTTGAAAGAATGCTGTGTGTGTTTTAGTTTTTGTTTATATAGTGCTCTCTTTAAAATATAAAACAATTCCTTCAGAAATAACAAGATGTAGTGAAAATAAGCAACTAAGATGATAAGTTAGTTTTGCACATTCGCTGCTGTTAGTTGACTACCGTGCTATTAAATTTTTTTTTTACTGGAAAGAATCAATGACAGGTATTTTATAGAGATTTCAATCCTCTTTCTTCTGAAAGACCCATATATTTATGAATTTGAAGCTTACTTTAAAGCAGACTCAACAACTTTTGAAATTATATCTAATATCACAGTTACAGAACAGAAGAAAAACTTAAAATGCCCTGAGACTTTTTATCAACTAGGAGAAATGTCACAGGGCTTTATTAAATTCAAAAATGAAACCCATAAGGACTCAGGAAACTTAATTTATTTTTTTTGTTGTGCTAAAATTTACATGCAGTGAAAGGCACAGACCTTACATGCTACAGGTCAGTGAGTTTTGATGAATACACATGACCTCATAACTGACACCTGGGACAGAGTGTTGTGATCGTTCCTGACAGGTCCCTCATGCCTCTTCTCAGGCAACCCCAGCACCCACAAATGCATCCATTTTCCTGTTTTCTGAAATTTGATTCTAAATTTCCATTCTGTATGTCTTGTATATTTTCTTTTTAAATAGATTATGCTGAAGTAGAAACAAGAATTGAAGCTTTAAGAGAATTACTTTTGGATAAATTGCTTGAGACACCATCGACCTTACATGACCAAAAACGTTACATAAGGTAAAACTCTGGCAAGAATTTTGACAGGTCACATATATCTGTTTGGACTGGATGCCTCATGTAGCCTTAAAAGCTAATTTGGGGAAAAGTAAGAGATAGCAGAAATTGAGGGGTATTTTATATGTTATACTAATATATTTGGGTTCAGGAATACTCACTTTGTAAGGGCACAAAAGTCCTACCAGTTTGGTGAAAGGAGAAGCACAGGAGTGTGCCGTGGCTCAGCAGAAGAGAGAGTGCTGAGCATCTGTCTGACTTACAAGCCTTAGTGACTAGTGAAAGAGATAAAGTTACTCGGTGGGAATACTTTTTAACAAATAGCAGCAGTGTTAAAAGTGATGGATGTCACAGAACATGAAGAAAGTGCCTTCTAAGGGAGTGGCATCACTTAGTGGGAACTAAATGTCCACCTTGGGCTTCTCTTTTTCAGTTTCTTTTGGACATAATGATACGATCTGCCTCTCAGGGTAGTTGCAAAGGTAATTATGAATACATTGAAGGATTTAACATAACACCTGGCACATAATAAGTAGTCAATAAATTTTATATGTAGCTTATACCAGGATTTGGAGATGGCATATAAATTATAAACTTTTTCTATCTGTGATTAAAAAATATTAACTTAGGGCCGAGCCCGTGGCACACTCGGGAGAGTGCGGCGCTGGGAGCGCAGCAGCGCTCCCGCCATGGGTTTGGATCCTATATAGGGATGACCGGTGCGCTCACAGCACGCACTGGCTGAGCGCGGTGCGGCCGGTCTCAAAAAGGACAAAAAAAAAAAAAANAAATAAATAAATAAATAAAATTTTAAAAAAGTGATGGATGTCACAGAACATGAAGAAAGTGCTTTCTAAGGGAGTGGCATCACTTACTGGGAACTAAGTGTCCACTTTGGGCTTCTCTTTTTCAGTTTCTTTTGGACATAATGATACTATCTGCCTCTCAGCATAGTTGCAAAGATAATTATGAATACATTGAAGGATTTAACACAACACCTGGCACATAATAAGTAGTCAATAAATTTTATTTATATGTAGTTTATACCAGGATTTGGAGATGGCATATAAATTATAAACTTTTTCTATCTGTGATTAAAAAATATTAACTTAATTTTCTTCTGGTTTATTTTGAGTGTGACCTTCGTTCTCAGAATAAGCTATTATTTTCCAAACTTAATGGCTTCTCCTTTTGAATTAGAGAAGTTTACTGAATATTCAGTGGTTATAAAAAAATAATAGACTGTATATACTTATGCATTTGGCTGTGGTCAGCATGTGACCATTGAAAATAGTCTCCATGCATGGAAGGAGGGTCTGGTCTGGAAGCTGCTGTGTGTGCAGTTGTGGAAGGGATGTGTGTCCACACTCAGACCTGTGTCCTGGTGATCAGGAGTAAGTGGAGCATGAGCTGTTGTCTCTGGCAGCACAGCAGCATCGCCCACAAGGAGCACGAGCGAGTGGAGGCTTCAGCAGTGAGAGAGAGAGCGCGCACTAAAATCGACTGCTGCCACTGCTGAGTGTGTGCAGTGCGCCCAGGTGCTGTGTGCGGTCCCTTCCATATATCCTCTGTAGTGCTGGTAACCGCCACAGAAGGTCACTTGCAGGCTGCCCATTGTACAGCGGAAGAAGCCGAAGCTTGCCCGGCACAGGTAGCCAGGAGGTTGCCTTCTGTCTGCTTCCAAAGCTTACCCTTGATGCCTCTGTAAGGAGAGAATGGCTTGTAGAATTGGAGAAATTTAAAGCTGGAAATAAACTACACTTAGTCATCCAACTGCTTCATTTTCTACACATAAAGAAACAAGAGTTCCAGGCAGGTCGAGTGTCTTGTCCAAGACACTCAGCTAGCTAGTGCCAGGTGTCCTGATGGTTAGGCTCTGTGTTCCACTCTGCCACTTCACAGTTGCTGCTTTTTGTATTTAATTGCCTGTTTACGTTCATTATAGTAAATTTGCCTACAGGGTACGGTTTCCTCACGTACTGAATTACAGTCTACAGGGATAACTAACGTGCAGTTCTTATGGCTGGTTAACTTACTGTATATCTTTTAAAAGATGGTGGTGTCAAAAAAGATGCCTTTTAAATGGCCTGTTTAACTGCTTTTTTTCCTGTCATTTTAAAAGGAAAAGAACAAAAATGTTACTTATTTTTTAATCATTATTTTTCTTCTGATGCATTAGGAACACACTAAGCAACTCTATCACCTTTTTAAACTAAATTTTTAGTCTTTAGTAAATAGAAAAGATTAGAACTAGGTCACATATCTGTTGGGCTTTGAAATCTATGGTGATAGGGACTATGAACACCAAGTGGTGATAGAGATCACTTGATCATCAACAAAATACATTTGTATTCATTTTCTTACATAATCCAAGTTACGCACATTAGGAGTGGAAATTAGAATACTACTGTATTGTTTTACTTTTTACTATTTTATCTAATTAAAAACTTCCTGATTATTTTCACTTTCTTTATTCTATCTTGATATTGGCAGGCAATATATTACTAGCTTTAGCATGAAACAAAACTTTGTTATATTTCTTTTCATGCTAGCGTGATCTTGTCCCTAGTTATTGTTTAGAGTGATGTTAGAATATCACTAACAACTTTTTAATTATTAAATTTTAAAATATTAAGCCTATGTCCATGATAATTAACATTCTTTACCTTGTTTTTACCTCTAACAATCTGTTTTTAAAGGAATTTATTTACTTTTTAATTGACACATACTGATCGTACATATTTATGAGGTTACAGAGTTTTATTTCAGTACATGTACTCAATGTGTAATGATCAAGTCAGGGTAAGTAGCATATTCATCATCGCAGAACTATCATTTCTCTGATGAGAACATTTGACCTCCTTTAGAGATAAAAATATCTCTAAAAAGCCTTTTAAAAAATGTTCTTTAATATGCAGTTTTAAAAGAAATAGCAATAACATATCATTCTAAATAAAGATATTTGAAACGAAAGTACTTATTCTAAGCTGCATACTAAAAGCAAAGAAGAAACTTATTGGAAGAGCCTAGTACACATTGTTTTACTTTTGAACTTTAAGACTCTCTAGAATTTCTAAGAGAATAATTTTATCTTTCTTTATAAAATTATTACAAAACTCTTTTAATTAATGCCCATTTATGAGGTGATAGAAAGAGGATTATTGTTGAATTTTACAAGGACATAATTAGCATACTGAAGAAACATAATTTTAAAAAGTTGCCAAGCAAACAAGTTTGTTATCGATTTGCCAGGGAAAGAGCACTTGTAATGGACCATGCACATTCCTATTCAGTCGTTTAAAAATTAAAAGGAAGCAGCTTCCCTAAAAGAATGCTTCTGTGTTCTACTACTAATACTGAACCCGAGGGTTCTGTGAAAGTGTCAGGAGACAGTGTTGCAGAAGTACTTGGAGGCAACACAAGCCCATCTGGGGAGAATGCTGAAATAAATTATCCCCAGCAGGAGAGAATAAAGTCACGTGTTCTTTGGGAAGAACAGGCACAATGTACGATTCATTATATTTACATTCCAGATGATAAAAGAGGAAAACCTGTGAGAGGAATGATCAGATTGGATTTCGGAAGCTTTGAAATGAATTCTGCATGCCAGGCTGCATGTAAATCTGTTAGACTGTAGTTTTCTTCTCAGGGTGCTGTTCTCATACGTGAGGAGTCCTAGGTGGCTTCTTAACACGGGTAAAGTTCTTCCTCTTAATTGACCTGTTGCTTCCTTGACGTGGACACACAGCCTATTCGCAACCTATAGACGGTCACAAGGGGAAGTTGGGCAGCCTGTGCGCGTGCTTTCAGTGGCCCTCCTGCAGAGGGTCCGTGCCCACCTCTCCCCAGAAATGAGCCTTCCCCCTTAGCTTGTGAAGGTCAGCGTCAGGTGGGTAGTTTCTGTGGTGCCACATTTTTTCTCAACATTTCAGTTGTTACTAACAATATGAAATGGGTTTGTTTCTCCTCTAATTACCTGCTAATGAAGCTGTCTGAGTAGTAGATACGCACGACTGCAGAAACGTGGGAAGGAAGCGTGAGGCCCACGGGCCTCTCCCTGAGTGATTAATGTTTGGCTAGAGCACTGCTTGTAACGTGAGTGGAAATTTACCATTGAACAAAAGTCTTTAACCCCAGAACAAATGACACCTTATG